AATGCAACACAAACAATTAAAGTAAAAGTATAAAAATTTAAAAATTACCTAAAATAATAACTATGACAAAAAATATATATAAAGAAAACTATTTGAAAAAAAAAAAAAAAAATAAACGCTGCACCTTTATTTACGCAGTCGAATAGGTAAATAGAAAATTTTAAAACAGTTATTCGGGGGGGGAAAAAAACCATGCAACTTAAAACGAATTAAAATGAAATTCGAAAAAGAAAAAAATATTAAATAATAAGATATAATTAAAAATATAATATAAAGAATATTATTTGGAAAAAAGGAACGATGGTGACTTTTTCCTCTCACGGGAAAGGAGACTAGGTTGCCATATATTAAGAAGTTCGCCAAGTGAGTATTCTTGGCGCAACTGACAAAAAGTGCGAACATAAATTTGTGAATTTCTCCGTAAATTTCTCTCCAAAATTTTACAAAATTTCATATTTAGGCGAATTTGAGTCGTAGAATCGAAAATGTAAAAAATTGGTATGTTATTTCAGAAAAAGTCCGATTTTGTGTCAAAATACCTATGTTAGAATAGTGCTATATATAAATCTAATATATATCCTAAGTCGCGCTTTCGAGACATGAAGAACGCAATTTGAATTTTGTCAATCGGCCCAGTAGATCGGGAGATATAGGACTGTCCCATTTTTTTTTTGAGCAGTGTACACGTTTTACAAATATAAATTTCGCAGCTGTATGTTATCTTTCCTTGAATATATATTTTAGATTTTTGATCAACTCTGACCACTAGTATAGTTATGAAAGGCAAATAATAGCACTTAGTGTAACCTTATTCAACACATTATGGTATAGAAACATATTATAAACATTTAAGTATGCAGTACTAGATTTATAGGAGCATGTAAAGAAAAATAGAAAATTCGGTAGCAAGGATCATAAGTATGCTATAATAAGTACACCCGAGATGAAAAGACATCATAAGATGATGACATATTTTGTTCAAAATAATACTTTACTAAAGAACTGCAATTTTTGAAAGATAAAAACCGATTAAAAGAGGACTAGCCTACTTCATTTTTATGCCTGTTTATTGATTCTGATAACCTACTATGGTCAAGAGGACACATTCAAATTATATTAGTTCAGTGCATCTTCAGTATAAATGAAGAATATGTTGATTAAAAAACTCCACCCATTAAAAGAAAAGGGCTGAAAAAATATAATTTCAGTAATTTTTATTGCAGTGTCACAGAACTTTCAAAGTGACTTTAATACTTTTGATTAATTGTGTAGGTTTCAGGCTGATAAATTTTTGGAAAGGCATGCAGCTGCAGGGTTATTAATTTACTAATATTATTAACTGTTTCCACATTTAAATACATGGGAAAGCAGAAAATAAGTAAAATCTGCTGATATAATGAAAAACCACGAGTAGTTTTAAAAATATGGCAACACAGTTATACTTTGCACTGAATCAATAAATAATGCTACAAATTCCTAACAGTAAACCAGAACACAGTAGAAATTTGTAAGTTGGTTTAAACTCATCAGATCAAGTAAAAAGACCTATCGTAAAATTCTAATCTCTATCACTCCATCAAGATTAGAATTCATGATGTTTCAAGATATTTGACATTTTCAGATATTCTTTTGCAATGCCTACTTTAACACCCCAAGGGGATAATGATTTAGTAGTCATATTTTGGATCTAATTGTGGATTAAAAAATGCCAAGTATGCTTGAGTAGTTGCTTTTTTTTTTTAATGAATTAGAATTAGTTAAATGTTACAAGCATGCTTTAATATGGCATGTTGTGTTTAGTAAGTTTTCATTGTATTATTTTTAACACATTTCTATCTTACATTTAAAATAATTATTTAAATTTTAAAACAGAAAAATATTAGAGATTTTGAAATTTCTCTGCCAGTATCTTAGGAATATCAACATACATATATATGTGTACACACATGGAAATATCCTTCCATAATCATCAAGCATATCGGTGCAGTTTCTTTCTTCTCTAACATTAACTACACTGATGGAAAATGAAATCTCAAAAAAAAAAAAAAAAAAAAAGAGTTCAAAATTTGGGAGGTGTGTCTGCACACCTGAAATATGAAGTCTTCAAATTTCCCACTTAACGAACAAGTTTGGCACCAGTAGAACCACTACTCGCTCCTGACTCCAAATTAATCTTTATAATTAGAACTCCTTTTCTTTAAATAACGTTAATCCCCATTTTTTAATTCAAAAATAACCTTTATTAAAGCTCTTAGCAACCATAAACAATTTTTTTAGAACAACAAAACTGAATAATCTTTTCGTTGCCATTCTAAAAACAACAAAAACAAAACGATATTAACCATTATTTTTAAACAATGGTTAACATCATTTTACTTGTTAACGATTATAATGGTTAACATCATTTTATTTAAACTTATGATATCCCAGATGTTCTCAACATATTTGGGTTCTAACTGTAATACTAAGTAGTTAAATTTGATTTCCTCCGAAACAATTTCATTTATCTTACACTGTGCCTCAACCTGAAAAAACCAGATTTATGTGCAATCATCCAAAGTGGAGGAATTTTAACACTTACTCTACACAGTTCGTGTGTAGTAATATTTGACAGTTTTATGGTCTTCAGCCATATTCACTTTAAAATCAAAATTCCGGGTCACCAATTATTGGCTTCTGAATCCAAACTAATCTTTATACAGTCAAAAGGCGTTAATTCGGAATGATCTATAATCTGGACGTCAAAACTAAAAACTTTCTGCACATGCACATAGGCGTTTACCTGTGCGCGTAAGACCTTTTACGACTACGCATATGAGTGTGCGCAAGTGCAAAATACGTTTTTGCGTGCGCGTTTTATGTACAATGGACGTATATGCTAAAATTATCTAATTATCTATTTCAGTTAATGTTGATGATTGCGTTGTTCCTTAATTTTCGAATTGGATCCGGCTTATTATTTTTGCAGACTGTAAGAGCAATTTTATAAAAGTAAGCTTAAACTTTCGATTATATCAAATAGAATTTCCGATATATATTTGTTAATATGTAAAGGATCTAAAGCGAAAGTATGTTTTGAAATCCGAAATCTGTTTATCAATTTCACGCTGCTCGGCGGGGGAACGCCGCGGCGGGCGCGTAATGAATTGGAAGTTGATCTGTCAGCACTATCCTTATCTTCAGGGCAGATGTTTTTATTTTATTTGGCTTATAATTCCTTACCAAATGTAGTATTTCATCTCGATGTGCTCCGTCTTTGATATGATTTAAAACAAGTTCCTCGTCATTATAATTCGCTTCCGATAGCGAAGAAAGTGACAGAGGTTATTGAAAACGAAAAAATTTCGATTGACAAATTAGTCGGTGTTCTCGACACAGCAATTATAGGACTTGAACAGCGGAACTTTGTAACTGAACAAGAAATTATGTCTGTTTAATAGAATTAAAGAGAAAGTATTATCACATGAAACGAAGCAAAACTTAAACAACTTACATTGAAAGAAATGTTTAATAAAGTAAACAAATAAATATTAAGCTTTTTCTTTTTGCAAATTTTGATACCCTTTAGATCATAATTGTTCTTTATTTCATAAATTACGGTTTCATATTTTTAATTTTAGAATTTCTGCATGCCATCTTACGAGATTTAAACTGATGATCTATAATCCGGAATCGCCGAAGTCCCGACGAGTCCGGATTAACGACTTTTGACTGTAATTAGAACTCTGTTGTTTTTTTAGAACAACTAAACTGAATAATCTTTTTGTTGGCACTCCAAAAACAACAAAACTGAATAATCTTTTCAATGCCCTTCCCCCCCCAAAAAAGCAACCAAAACCATGACTTAAAATTTATGTATAAATTCAAGCCAAAACACCACTATGAACATGCAAATCACGTTTGCTTTAAATATGCAAAGCAAACTTTATATTCTGTATTATCTTACAGATTAGGTGCTGTGAGTGAGATTTGACTTGAGAATGCCTTTAATGCTTTTTCAAGCTTTGTTTGGCATCAGAGTGACACAGCGAACTGTAGCAAATCAATTACTTGAGGGACAGCTCCAAGCCAGACACTCTGCAGTGACAATATCACTAATTCCAAATCTTAACAATCTGCAACTTCGATGCAATCAAAGCCAGCTGCCATTCTTCAGCAATATTCCAGGAGACATTTTGTAGCAGGATAACGCTTGTTCACCCAACATTCTCTATAGTGTCAACATGCTAGCTTTCCCTTTAAGATCACGAGATCTTTCAGCTAGCACAAGACGGACATGACTGGATGACAAATCTACCATTATCCACAGCCAGCATGGACCAATGCAAATTTGAACTATCATATCAAGTGCAACTGGCATGGAACTCCATCCCCGAAAATTACATATAGCACCCGCACAAGATAATGCGTGGATGTCGGCATGCTTGCATTAACATCATGGTGACTACAGCAGTTATTAAATACTATAACCTGTGACCTTGAAACAATCAACTATTTATGCTACCTAAACAAAAGCTTTGCTTATGCATTTCGCTCCTCTACACTAATTTCTTCTTGGTGCTAAAATTTCATTTTCCATTGATCCCTAATGTACATACTAGGAGGTCACATCAACTGTTGGTGCTCATTGTACTGATGAGTTAGAAGACTGCATTTAATTTTTAACTACATTTTTATTTCCTTGTAGAAAAAATTTGCTAAATTAAAACAGCTTGGGAATTTTTCCATCTTGACTCTTGCAAACATATATCATAAGTATGAAATATTACTTGAACTGTACAATAATAAAAAAAACTTATTTTGAAAAATGTAAATACCAAAGTGTAATACATACAATACTGTATAATAATACATAGGGAAGAAAAACATTTAAAAAATATTTTTTTATCAATATAACAAATTTTTTGTAAAACTATTTTACTTGCTATGCTGCATTTCATACATCTGATTATACAGACCTAATTAAAAAAAATTACACATAAAATATTAATACTGCTTACCCTCTGATTCACTTCTACAACTTAATCGAGGTTGTTTATTTGGTTTTAAAATAGGAAGAGAATTCCTAGAACTTGTTTCAGATGAATCTGAAGACCAGCGTCTTTTTTCCAAAACAATGTGTTCAGAACTTGGTAAGCAATCTTCAGAGGCTAAACAAATAAAAAGGTAAAGAAAAGGACACATTAAAAAGTGCTGCACGAAAGATTTTTATTATTAAGAGAGGCATTAGGGGCTCGACAACTACTAAATTTATTCCAAGAAACTCACACTTGAGATCAGATATGCTCTAATTATAGTCACTGACACCTTAAATAACTGATTTAAAGTGGGCTGCTTAAGAGAAATATGGACTAATCTAGAAAATGTAAAAAGTTAAATCCAACATTCTCACATTTTAACCTAAAATTTTGTTGCCATTGTCATACATTAGGAAACAGTGAAATCAAATAATTGGTGAAATGAAGGAGTTTTCTAAATATGCTTCCACTGCTACCCTGACTAGCTGATTTGTATTAAATCAATTCTGAACACAGTGATACAAGTGTTGCAAATAACCTTTACCCTTTCAAGAAGGATACCCCCCTAGAAGGATGGTGCTACATGCAGTAATTCTAATTAGTCCATGGTGGTCATCAACAGATTTTTAACAGCCAATAAGCTGTTATTTCCTAGACTTATCACCAACAGACTACTTTTTGAGGGGTCATTTTATGAATTTGATTTAATTGTGACCAGCTGGTGATTTATATATAATATATATATATATATATCACCAGCTCTTCAGGAACTCACAATCAAATTTAACAATATTGATATAGATAAGCTACAGTGTGTATCAGCAAACATGGCAAAATGTATTTTCATAACAAGGGTGATTTCCATCACTTAATATAGTGGCCAGTCATTCTTCCACTATTAACTTTACATCAAAGATATAAATGATGCTACATCAGATAGGTATGATGCTTTGGCAGCTAGATAAGTTACCAAAGACAGTTTTAGTGTTCTTTACTGAGAGGAAAAACAGACACATTTCAAAATGGTCACCTTTCACAAAAACATTCAACAGATTTAAACATATCATTAGACAAGCACATACATATGAATTAATTTGTCATTCAATGCCTTCTCTTGTACATGCACCGTAAACTCACGTGCATCAAAACAAGGTTATGTTTGAATTTTTGTTACCTATTTTATTTGACAATAGTTATTATTAATAGCAACTTCATATTGGTAAGTAATAAAAATACTTTTTCTTATAAATCATTAATAAACAAATTCTTTTTATTAAACCTTTCAACTTTTTAAGAATGGATAAATGGTTAATCAAGAAAGCCACGGATTTAAATGATGATGATCAACCAAGCACGAGCAAAGCTGAACATTATGATTGTGAAGAAACTGTGCTTGAAGCACCTAAAGCAGATATAGAGCGCCAAAATAACAAGCGTAAAGATACTTGGACTCACAGCTATTGTGACGAATATTTACGCTTTAGGTTCATTGCCAGCAGCAGTCAAAATAATTTGCCGCTATGTGTTATTTGTAATGAGCAACTTTCAAATGAAAGTACGAAACGGTCAAAGTTGAAATGGCATTTAAACACACTCCATTCTGAGTACTCTGATAAGCCAATTAACTTTTTTACTGATAAAAATACACTCTTACCTCACCAGTCAATTAAAAACCTCACTTTGACATCTTTTGAAATTTCCAAATTAATAGCTGAAACTGGGTATCCTCATAGTGCTGGAGAAAAATGAATACTTCCCGCTTTGAAAATCGTTGCAAATGATTAATGCGGAATAAAGGAGAAATGTTTATTTTCGGCGATACCATTATCAAATAATACAGTTAAACGAAGAATTGATGATTGCATGAAACATTTAGAAGAAGAACGAGTTGCTCAAAGTAAAAAAGAGCAAGTTTTTTTCCTTGCAAATAGATGAAAGCACAGATATTGAGGATACTGCAAATCTAATGTGTTTTATCAGATATATTGACGCAGACACCATACAAGAAAATTTTTTGTTTTGTAAAAGGCTACCGAAATTTTTAAGGCTTCCAATGATTTTGTCACTAGTCACGGTATTGACTGGATGAAGTGTGTTGGGCTAAGTAGCGACGGACCACGTGCAATGGCAGGCTGTCATAAAGGTTTGTTTAAACAAATTCAAGAATTAGCAATTAATTGTGTATGGGTGCACTGTAGAATCCATAAACAAGCATTGGCGGTAAAACGAATGCCTTTAAATTTAAACATGACTTTGAAAGAATGTGTCAAGTTTGTAAACTACATATAGTCTCGTCCATTAAATAGCAGACTTTTTATCAAATTATGAAAGGAAATGGGAAGTGATCAAAAACACCTCCTTTTGTATTGTAATTCCCGATGGCTTTCAAAAGAAAAGATTTTAAAACGTCTGTTTGAGCATAAAGACGAAGCCTTGGTATTTCTGAATGAACACCCACCATCTAAAGAAGATTCTATTTTTCCATTTAAGGATAGATTCCACGATTTCGAGTGGTTAATAAAAGTAGCTTATTTGTGCAGCATATTTGCTACATTCAACGAATTGAATTTAAATTTGCAAGGCTTTGGTTTAAATATTTTCAAAGTATCGAAAAAAGTCGCTGCAATAATTAAAAAAATGACTCTGTGGAAACAACGACTTTCAAAAGGAAATTTTAAATCTTTTGAAACATTACATAAATTTATTGAAACCCATTCAAACTACAATGAAGATTTACATCTTGAAACACTATCAGTTTCAATTCAAGAACATCTTTCAGAGCTAATAAATAGTTTTAGAGACTATTTTCCGAATATTCCTTCAAATAAAACGTGGATTAAAGATCCTTTTTCTGATGATATTGAAAAGGAAGAAGTGCTTAATCGTAATGAACAAGAAGTTGATAATTTAATTGAAATTTCATGCGACACCGATCTTAAAAAGGTGTTGAAACTGTACAACTAATTAATTTTTGGTTGCACTGTCATAAGGAATATCCAAGCATAAACGAAAAAGGCGATACAATTTTTAATGTCTTTTGTCACCACTTATACGTGTGAAACTGCATTCTTGGCCTTGGTATACTTAAAAAATAAGTATCGAAAGATTGGATGTCGAAACTAATTTGAGAATAAAATGAACATCAAGTCCTAATTTGAAATTACTATGTGATGAAAAACAACATCATCCTTCGCACTAAGGTCAAAATATGCAAAACAAAATTTACTTTAAGTTTTAAATGAAGATAATGGATTGTCTTCAATTACTTATGTTTTGTTATATAATTATTTTGCAATTTTTGTGTATGAAATAAACAAATAACTTGAATTTTGATTTTTATTAAAAAATAAAATTTGGTTTGTAAATAAATGTTTTTTTTATAAGGTGGGTCACAAAAAAAATGTAAAATCTCATTCCGGGCAGTGGTAAAAAAAGTGTGGGAAATGCTGACATATATATAAACCCACGCCAAACTGTCACACGACCTTTAAACTTTAAAACATATTTAGTAAGCTCTAGTAATTACACACTGACTTCAATGGCCCTACTAAACCCATGGCATCATCACACATTATAATTTTTGTTTATGCACCCAAGTTGAGAGCTACAGTTATGCATCATGGAAGTATCCACTTCATATTCCACACTCCCTGAAATTTTAGTGCAATGAACATGGTTTTTAAGGAAATTAAACATCAACAATAGTTCCATTGTTTTTCTCAATCTTACCCATGTGAATTCTCAAATACAGTCTCTTATCTTTCTTTGCAATTTGATGTGGGAAATAATTAGTTCTCTTAAAATTAAAGAAAGTACCAACAACAAGTCAAGTCAGAGAACAGATGAAGCCAGTTTTCACTTAAAATTTAATTCTCTTTCTGTTTAACCTTTCAAAATCCTGCCAATCAGATATTTATAAAAGTAACTTTTCAGATTTCTATAAATGACTACTTACTTAAAAAATAACATACTGTAAAATTTATTATATAGAATTCTGTATCTATTAATAAATGCATTTTGTTGGTTATCACTGAATTCCAAGTGTTTTCCTTTTTAAATGAAAAACATAAAAGCTCTACAGCTGACGAATTTTGAAGGAAAACCGACCATAAACCTGGAAATATTGTTTGTCACTTGAAATTTATGAAATACAGAGTGGTTTGCATGATAAGATTCAATACTTTTCTTCACATATCAGGAATTCAAGGTCTTGAAATAAATACATTACATGAAGACAAATGATAAAGAAATTAAAAATAATCCAGAAAAAATTAACAGAATATTGTGTACCTAAGACTTATATTACATATGAATGGCATTTATTCTTAACCATAGTATTGGAAACCACAAATGATCATATATCCCACTTCAAAACAGCCAAATCCTGTGAGCACAATTAATGCACAGTTTAATAAAAATTGTGGTATTACAGGTAATGCAGTGGGAACAAGATTGTTGTACTAAATAGATTTATCATTATTAAAAGCTCTTGGTAAATCATAGGAGTACAGCAATAAGTACACATCAAATGAAAATAAAAAATGAAGATACTAGTGTGAACATAGTACAAATGCACTTAAATAAATACAATAAGAATACAGCTAAATAGTCAACTATTGAGAAACAAGCAATACAATTTTGTTCTAAATGCAGAACATTTCATACATATCAGAAGTGCCCAGCATACGGAAAGATTTGTCATCAGCGAAAAAAGCCAAATAATTTTGTAAATCACAGCAAAAGCTATAAAAACAAATTATCAATGTTTACACATTAAAAAAAATAAGATGATAAAACAAAAAATACTGAATTAAAATACTCAGAAAGAACTATCATTTTATGTAGGAATATTAAAAGTTAGTTCAAATGATAAAGATAAATGGATTGTTGATATTAAAGCAAATTAAAATAAGTCTTAATTTGCAGTTTTATACTAGAATTGATGCCAAAGTCCTAAATTAAAAGCTTCTATGAGAATAATAGACACTGTATATAAAGCAGTACTTAACTATTAATATTGAAAAAAATAATAATGTTGCCAAATTTCAGGTTACAGACAAGGAAGTACTTTATCAGAATTAAAATCATGTTTATAACTATGTTTGATCAAAAAGGAAAGTCTGTTTATAATG